GCCAGGTGTAAACAGGTATATCAGTATCAGTTACTTTCAGTGATTCGATTTGCAATAAAACAGCGCTTATGTTGATATAATTTATATCAACATAAACGCTGTTTTATTGCGAATACGTTAATATAGGGTTGTCTGCGAAAAATTCGGTCCTAATAAAGGTATCCGAATTTTAAAGATTTTAATTTCAAAGCGTGTGGAAGTGAGTGACAGAGAGGTCCGAGATAAGTATAATATGTAATAATAGAGGATGAGACCCTGAATATAAGTGCGCATGCGCGGTACGTACACTATGGAGGGTTACTACCCTCCATAGTGTACGTACCGCGCATAGCTAATGACTTAAAATATTATATTGCGTCGATACCATGACGAAACACGTGTTATTCTGTATCGCTGATTCTTTTAGTGATTTTACTGATGAAACTTTTAAAAATTGTTAGTTGAAGCTAGCTTTCGTAAAAAAAAACTTTAAATATCTTGAACTTGAACTAACTACCATACCACGTGTTACAAAAAAGTAACTGTTTTAGGGAATAAATATAATGAACAATTTGTCATTTTTTGTTCAGAGTATTCAGTAAGTACATAATATATGATCCTCTTTATTGTTATCCAATAGAATTCGCATAATTTTAATGTTCGTTGAATTCGTTTCTATCAAACAAATAATTTTTCTGAAGGACCTCTCACTTTTTTTGGTTTTTCAATTTCTATCTTCAGTTTCTACCAGTACAAATAATGACAAGTCAACGGCTGCACATTCTATTTGTTTTATATTGCAAGACAGGATAATATTTTCTTATTATCTTGATGTTGCAACAGTTCATGAAAAATATTTTTTTAAAATTATTAAACATATTCTGTCCAGGATTTTTTTAGACAGCCCATTTTTAATACTATAAATTTTATTCTATTATCAGCTCGGTGAAGGTCGATTTAGGTTCGGATCTTAGACTATTATGAATATCGCAGCGATAATGCAGTTTCAGCTTTATTGATCCTTGTTCAATTATTGCGTTGAAAACGCAAAGAGTTTGAGCTTTGATTGGATCTAAAATATATAATTATATATTATATAAATATATATATATTCCGAAAGTATGTCGCTTTATTAGGTTCTTTCACGGAAGGCTTTTGTCTGTGATCGAATTGATTTCTTACAATTTGATCAACGAGTTTATTACGAGACAGGCGTATTCTATCTGTTATATAAAATATAAAATGTCGTATCTCTATTGAATCATCTTCATTTGGCTTTGGATTCCATAGTATATAAATAATCCATAGTTCAATAACAATCACACTAAATCTCTAATTGATCAGAACAAAAATAAATATTGTAAGGCTAACGGTAACCTACTTGTAAAAATATGAAAGTATGATCAAACATCTCGACCCGTCTCATGATCACGGCTTTTATGGAGCATTTGAAAAGTCAAGAGCTTAAACACAAATTATAAGCATATATTATTCGTGATTAGTTCACGGAGAATATATGCTTATATATTCTACTAGTTATATATTGTGTATACTACACATATACACGGTTTCAATATATAATTTTTAATGCAAGAAATTATTGTGACACGCACTTTAATCATTTAAATAATCGACTCGTAATTCATATAAAAATGATAGATGAAATATTTAAATAGTTAACTTTCATAATCAAGGAACGTCTTTATTACTATCACTTAGTTTTCTTGCAAAATGGTTCTATACGTGTCTTAATTTAGGCGAAAGCACTAACGGTGCGATGAAATTATTCACTTCAATATTTCACAATGAGTCAACGGCCACCATTCGATGCTGACGTTTGTATTTAAAATGATTGAATCAATTGGCTCTTTCTAGTACGCGCTTGTCTTGACATCTTGTTAATAGGTGGCAATTTATTATTTTACTCAACTGGACTCTGCGATTTTGAATGGCCCTGATAGAAATTTCGCTTGGGCAATCGAATTTCTTGACAGTATGTTTTTTAATAGATGAGACGCGTTAAGATAATTTGGAAATTTCAATGCCGACGAAGTATTCAGTCAGCTACGATTTCGTACGATGTCCTTAGTAACGATGCCGTGCAGTAATAGCTCGGTGTCCGGGCACTCGCTTTATTTCAATATATCTTCTCGCTGTTCAATCAAATCTCGGTGGCGCCACTAAAGAAATTGTTAATTGTAATTTTAATTGTTGACTTATGGCTTGCTTAGCGTTGAAGGAAAACATCCTCAAGTAGGTCCTCAGGATGTTTTCCTTCAATCCGAACTGCTTTTATTTTCGAACAAATAACAAAAAAAAACCTAAGATCCGCAGGGAACACCTTGCTACTACTTATATATACCCTAATACCCACTGCACTGTTAATATTTAAGAGATAAAAGTGTGTGATTTTTTGCTCAACATATATCTATAATTTGGAATTAGTTTAGATATTACTACAATAAATATTGCAATAGATTATTGTTCAATTTTATTGTTTGAAAATAAAACTAGTAACGGTTTTTAAATCTTGTAATAATTCTCTTAAAAGTAGCCGTAATACTGGGGTGTCCCAGAAGTAAAGAGACAAGTCAATGAAAATTTTTTTTAATGAAAAATTGTATGTCAAATGTTATTTGTGTCCTTAAAAATTATGCATAATAATAAAAAACAATCTATATCAAACTCGCTCCTGCGAATTCATATATCGTATTCGTATATATAATACTTCTTATGAGTGCTTTTTCAAAAGTTGTTGCGACCCGTTTGGCCGATCTAGCTCATCTTTGTTTGAAAGATGTCAACGTTTTTGATTTTTCTGAATACTTGCATTCCTTTTTACACAGAGCCCAAAACATTCCCAGCCCAGCTTGAGGAACATTTGGAGCTATGTTTTTTGTCGATATGAATTCGACGCGCATAGATTGCAAATATTGAATGACTTCAGACTCGCAAAGACACGAAGCCATATCTGGCCAGAATACAACGACTTCCCTCTGATAATTCTTGTCTATAAACGGTATTAATCGCTTCATAATACACTCGAAGATAAATTTGTGCGTTCATAGACCGTGTACAGATAAATGGTTCGGAAACATTGCCGTTTTCGTCTATAGCTTGCCAAACCAGATACCTCTTAAAATTAGCCTTTGTTTTAACTTTTTCGCTGTAATTCACCTCACCACGACTGGTAGCGTGGAAATATTGCTTCTCAGGAATATTAGAGGCGTCAACCGGTACAGAAGTTTCATCATCAATTATGTGATTTCTTTTTTAATTTTTTTGGTAAACTCTACTACAACCTCGCTTAGCACACTTGGTCTTTACGTACTTTGGAGCGGACAATTTCACAAAAGCTTTCATGCCCGTATCTTGAACTTTAATTCTGGATATGCTTGACTTAGATATTTTCAATTTGTCTGCCGCAGTCCTCACAGATGTGCTTCTTTAAAAACCTTTTTTACTTTATGTTTCGATCACTTGCTATGGTACGTTACTTTACCGAAATGTTCCTAAAATCAGTGTCTCCTGATTCTTCATACCGTTTAATTATCCTGTAGATATACTTGTTCTTATAGCCCCCTTATAGTTCTTGAGAAAAATGATGAACTGCCTCGGATTTCCCACTATTCAGATAGTACTGAATTACACTTTTTGCAAACGATTCTCGTTCAGTTCGCTTCATGTTAGAAAAACATCGACGATATTTGCAAAACTACGCGAATTTGACTGATTTGTTACCGGTGGTTACAATGGCAACAGTTATTTTCTTTTTTGAGATCCTTTTTCTTGGTCGATATGAACATTCAGTTTTGTCTCTTTACTTATGGGACACCCTTTAATCGGTTTGGAGAGTCTTATGATGTTATTATATACTGCCGTGAATCATGCTCAATGTGTACCTTTTATTTGGAACGCACGACTTCGAATCTAAAGGTGACGATCACAACTACTAAGATAATTTATCACATATAATTACAGTTTAATTGGTGTTTAATAACTTTATCGTCAGAGTCTAAGCACAATCAGTGCTAAAGTTGGTAATGCATAATAAAGATAGTGATAGCGCGAAGAGAGATAAATTATATCTATTGTGAACGGCATACATTTGCGATTTAATTGCTTCTTAAGCAGAAAAATTCAGTAGTACTATTAACACTTAATAATAAGACTGCTGAACTCACAATGTAAAATTGATGTATGTACCGACTAGTTTCGAATCCATCGAAGGTCTTTTATGAGGGTGAGTGGGGTTAGTAGCTCTGGCGTCTACAAAATTCCATGCGATTGCGGCAAAAGCTACATTTCAGAAACGGGGCGCAACATAAATACTAGGCTCACCGCACACATCCTCAGTGTACGAAAAAAGGACATCTTCACCTCGACGGTGACAGAGCACGCCCTTAACTACGACATTAAATTAGGTTCGATAAGGTGAAAGTGCTAGCCCGTGAAATGAGTTTCGTGTCACGGAAGCTATCAAATATCAAAATCGAACGCCGGGTCAATTTTAACAGAGACAAGGGACGGGCTTTGCCGCCTACTTGGAAACTACTTTTTGTTGAATGCGATACGGAATAAGAACGATAGTGCTAGCGATAGAGTTCATATTGTGCACCCCAAAACACCAACAGTGACACTATATCAATCTCGAATGATTCGTCATAATCGCCGACGCACAGCGCTCCCGCCGCCCTGTCAACCCGCGCTGCAGCTCAGGAGCGCAGTGCGAGATGGGGCGCGACCGCGAACTAGTCCCAGTCACCCTGATAAAGAACCTTCGATGGATTCGAAACTAATCTGTACATACAACGGTTTAACGTGAGTTCAGCCGTCTTATTATTACGTATTATATTATTAAAATTTAATTGAACAGTTTCGCTTCGTCCAGATGTAAGTCAGTTTTCAAACTCGAAATTTTAAGACGTACGATACCGAATGTTCTATTTAGTTCCAACCAGTTGTTCATGTTGTTTTCCACATAGCTATTGCTAATTATGCATGATTGTTGACAGCCAAAAATGGAACAGTCTGTGTTCGGTTTGTGGGACTACATCATAATGGCGGCGACGATGATCGCTTCGGTCGCAATCGGTCTATATTTTAGATTCAGCGGAGGCAAGCAAAAAACGAACGAGGCGAGTTACAATTATTACACGCGATTCATTCGTCAATTAAGTTTAACATCGACCAATGCCAGCGGTTTTTGTTTACAGGAATATTTGTTGGCTGACCGCAACATGTCCATACTCCCCGTGGCGGTGTCGCTTATGGCCTCGTTCATGTCGGCCATAACCCTATTGGGGGTGTCCGCCGAGAACTACTATTACGGCATGCAGTTCGTAGTAATCAACATTTCATATGGCATCGCGACGCCCTTTGCCAGCCGGCTCTACCTGCCAGTCTTCTTCGGTTTGCAGAAGACCAGCACATACGAGTATTTAGAACTGCGTTTCGGTCCCCGCATACGAATGCTCGCATCCCTAACGTACACTTTGCAGATGTTGTTGTACAACGGGATAGTACTGTATGCGCCGGCGATAGTGCTGGAGGCCGTGACAGGCTTGGACAGGCTGATATCTATTCTGGTGGTGGGCTTGGCGTGCACGTTCTATTCGACATTGGGCGGTATGAAGGCGGTTCTGTTCACCGATTTGCTCCAATCACTGCTCATGTTTGGTGCAGTTTTCAGTATCGTGGTCTTCGCCTCCGTACAGGTTGGAGGCTTGGATCAGATATTTGCAGTAGCGAGGGAGGGTGGCCGTTTGGATTTTTCCAAGTAAGGTTATGTTCCAGACAATTTTTTTAGTGTGAATTCTTTTAGTTTTACAATCGTTGTTTAATAGTTTCAGTGTCGATCCAACAGAGCGGCACACGTGGTGGTCCTTAATCTTAGGAGGCCTCGTCACGTATTTATCGCTATACGCCGTCAACCATACGCAGGTAATTTCACCGTACTTGTAAAAATGTTATTATTGCATTTAGTTTCGAACTGTACCCGATTTAACGGTTTCGATTTTTATTTTTTTTTAACACAAACGTCATTTTCCTTTTTGCAATAAAACATAAACACACTAGCTCAGTAAAACCATAATGGAGCTTGCCTTCGACTGTTAGTTTATAGATACTCGTAATCTGATTATCTCTTGTGTTTCTTATATACACCAAAATATACACTAGAATTAATTCAAAATTTATGATTATTAAACAATTAGGTTTCGAATGTATATTCACGCTACGTAAACTTATGATCTTATGTTCCTTACATATACATATGATTTCTTTTCCGCGCAGGTCCAACGTCTTTTAACCGTCAGAACGTTACAGCGGTCACAGTTGTGCCTGTGGTGGAGTTGGCCCGTCCTCTCCGTCCTCAGCATTGTGACCTGCACGAGTGGCTTAGCCATATACGCTGTCTACAAAGACTGCGATCCCCTCGCTAGTCATCAAATAACAGCTGTTAGTATTTGTTTTTAAAAACTATACGCACATTTATAATGCATTTCCTACTTTCAGTCTTCCGGATACAGTTCACAGAACAATAGTAGCGATCCATATTAATTCTATTCCTAAAACTAGTTAATCAATTTTTGGGGTGGCATATATATATATATATTGTTTTGTGTAGTAATATTTGTATTATTCGCAATACATTTACTCACGTCTTACAATTATTATCAAAATATTAATTGACGGGACCTGTCATTGCCAACAGATTTATTAGTATACTAGAAGATATTCTTGATATTTAAAACTATTTGTTTCTTTACCATTATTGTGTCATTGGCGATATCATAAGGAACGCTAACTGCCTTCGAAGAAGAAGATTTAATAGTAGCGATGGTAACACGTTTAGTAAGGAATCGATTTTGAAATGAAAGTCGATTTTAAGGTTTTTCTGTATTAAGTCTATATTTTATTTCGTCCATTCTTAAATATATTAAATTTTTGATTGACTTATTCATCTGGTTCTTGTTACAGTTGTGTACTTAACTGTTGAATACGTGTAAATAGGGTGTTAATTCGACTTCGACTCATACGCTGCGCATCCCGCGTTAGATCGACCAGCTGATGCCATTCTACGTGGTGGACGCGATGCGCGTGGTGCCCGGCCTGGCGGGACTATTCGTGGCGGGAATATTCAGCGCGTCCCTCTCCACAATTTCGGCCGCTTGCAATGCACTCGCCGCAGTCACCCTCACAGATTACGTGGGCAGGTGATGAAGAACCCCTCATGTTAAACTGCACTATTTTCATTCTGTCTATATTTTTAATCACTTTATTTAGATAGATGGATTAGGTCTCGGGCAAATAATTTATGTTGACTCACGATCTACCACGACCTCACAGAAGCTCGAAGTGAAGTGCAAGTATTATACTTTTACGGTTCTTCTCGCGAGTAAGGTAGCCGGGGCCCACTTTATTAAAAGGTGGCAATGTATCTGCAACTCTATGGGTGTTGCAGTTGTCTTTTGGCGTCAGTTATTACTTAATATCAGGTGAAATGCCAGCTCGCTTGCGACATTCGCACATAAAAAATGTTTACTTTATGATTAATTACGGCAGCTCACCATTAATTTAAGGGGTCTTTATTGATACTTTTAATCAATAAATTCGTTGTCTCTCACTTTAAATCTTTAAATTTTATGTTTTAAAATGAGAACATTTAAATTAAGACGTTAATGTGAACGTTGGCAAATATTTTGCGTGTTCGTAAATTAATTTGATACGTTCGCGAGTAGCGTGGAACGAATTCGGTAAAATCTATTTCAATTACACGTGCCACGGTGAATGGTAGACTGATTACAAACTATAATTGACAACAAGCGATGCATTGTCCCTCATTCTACCGGATAAAATGGATTACTTAAATATAATTGTTGCAAAAAGCTCTACGGAGACATCGGAACATCGTATCGTCAACTGTAATGATACGTCACTATCTATCACACTTAATTGTGTGACAGACATCTTACTTTCTTAACATGCGAGTTAAGAAAGTAAGATGTCTGAAGAAATGTGGTATCAATAAACAAGTCAATTCTTTACTCCCAAAACCTTATCAAAAAAGAATGTGCGGAGTACGCTGCAGTTTGTGCTGTCAAATAAATGGACCAGTGACGTAAATAACTATTAATAGTCCCACAGAAGTTCGGCGTATAGCAGAATATGCTTTTGTTATATTAACATCCTCTATCTCAGGGTCGACTTCAACTTTTATTCATAAAAAAATGGAGGGTGGTTGCACGAATAGGCAGGATCGTCCGGGGAGGTACCACGGCCTTATAGAAGACGACAAACAGATGGCGTTTTCACGAATAAAGTTTGCATGCTATATGTTTGCTCGTAGAACCGATAACCTTTGAGGGAGAAAGGTTTTCGAACGGCAGCCTGGTACTGGCTCTTGCAGTGTGGGACGATTCCCATTAGATGGAGTGACGACCTGTGCGAGTATGCGGGAAGTCGATGGATGCAGGTGGTTCCACGTTTCAGTGTATGGGAGAGGTCTATGTTCAGCAGTGGATTAAGAACAGGCTGAAATGATGTTTGCGTTATTAAAAGCGAACCGCAAGCCCATTATGGAGACGCTAATTTTGTTGGCATAGGTGGTTCCAAGTGAACCCGTCGTACATACCGTGGTTGACGAAGATAGCGGCTTGCGTTTACGGTCTGCTGTTCCTCGCGCTGGCTTTCCTCGCCCAGTATTTGGGTGGAGTGCTGCAGGCCGCCCTGACGATCTTCGGCGCGGTCGGAGGTCCCCTGTTGGGAGTTTTCACGCTCGGCATGTTCACAACCTTCGCTAACGAGCTGGTGAGTTCTTGCGTTTTCTCGTTAAATATGTAACAAGGTATTAACGATGTTTCGTAGTTGTAGCCTCTTGTCTCCCCTGCCACTTATCTGGTCGGGTCTGTTTTAAAATCGATGTTAGATTATGGTGTTGCTAAGTATTTGTTTTAAGTCTAAATTGTAATAAAGTATTTTCCATAAAAGACTTCTCGAACATAAATTCGAAATATTTCGGTCTTGAATTGGACCAATTTAAATGGAATGCTGGGGAAAGTTTACTGTTTAATGCTGGGAAGTGAAGTAGAAACTGTGTGAATTTAATTCTTGTCTCATAACTTCTGATGTTATTATCGTCATAATTTTTCGCAACTTTACCTACCTTCATTCTAGAGAATCCGTTTTAGTAATCCTAAAGTAATAAACCCAAAGTATCGTTTTGCAGTTTTGCCGCAGTGTTACCTTACCGCTAACGTTAATAATTAAATTTATAGATTCCAATAAAAATGCAGATATATGTATTGATACCGCGAATGTTTCACTGTCCTGATATAGAAAGCAAATTATCCTTAATTTTAAACATGAAATTAAACTATTGTATCGGTGTTGCGATATGTTACCTAAAATGTCTCTAAAATGATAGCAATAGTGCGACTGTAGGAAGTCATAACAAATTTAGCTGACCTTGGTTATCTCTTCAATGTGTGTCGTCGACTTATCTTAATTTAATTCACTGATTTTTATCAAACAAATGTTTTCTGGAAGACTGTAATTTTTTCATAATCATATTTGGAATAGAGAAAATTTGTATAAAAATTCTACATTTTTTTCTGGTAATGTACGCGACAGATATTTTGTAATCTGTGCAGTGTTCTATTAGTTATTGTCATATCGACAAACTCAGTGAGAAAAGTTCTATGATTCTTAGTTTTTGGATTGCATTTAGTTTTTTAATTTATTGTTGCAATACCGTCATTACAATTTTGTATAATATTTTTATGTTTTCTTGGCTCCAAATTAGGTAACCGATGGTCTTTGTTGACAGCGGTGCTGTTAATGAAATGTCTAAACCAGAAAATATGGATTTTTTTTACGATAACTCAATTATTTTAAATCCAATACACATGCAGTTACATAAACTTAAGATAATAAACTTACTCATATCGGCAATATTATAAGTACTCAAACACTATTTAATAAACATTTTTTTTTCGTAGTGTAAAAGCGAACTGCAATATTGCTGCAACATTATAATGTGTAGTAAAGCTGACCTTTTTTTAAAATTAAGGTGATGACATTAAGATTTTTTTCTTCATGTACTTTGTGTACAATTATCAAAACAGATCAGTAATTTAAGTTGATAATCGATATATTCTGGCGTCGCAGGTCTTAGGTTCTTACCGGGATACGTATAACGTACAGACAATTCTTCGGTACCAGGATTTCAATTTTTATTTTATTTTATTATTATGTGATGACTACGTGGCGCAGTTGCCAAGATATTGGCTTCTGCGCCGAGATTCATCGGTTCGATTCACACACGGGACAACTATTTATGTGACGCACAAATATTAACTGTTATGGATATGGGAGTTGGCCTAAGTGAAAATTATGTTTTTAAAAATCACATATTATAATGGTTTCCTTATGTAAGTGCGATATTTTGTGTTATCTATATTCGATTACTTTTTTATTTATTCAACAGGGTGCATCTGTCGCGCTTCTAAGTGGGATGGCTTTAACGTTGTGGATGAGTTTCGGCGGCCCAAGGCCTGTGACCGTCAAACTTCCAGTTTCAGTGGAGGGTTGCGTCCAAAACGTGACAATGACTCCTCCAACCCTGGCGGATCCTAGCCAGTACTTCTATTTGTACAGAGTATCATATATGTGGACGAGCACGGTACGTGTTATAATTCACCATTTTGATTCATACATAAGTATAGACCGTTTAGATTATAAATAGTATAAGCTTTTCAGTTACACATGTAACCATTTTTAAAAGACTTCTTGACCGTTGTTGCTTTAGCAATCTTTATGTTTCTGCCAGACCTTGAATTTCAACCGATTCGAATACTTAGGGCTCGAGATAGTCTGCTGCAGGAACGATGAGTTAGATACTGTGCTTGTGGTATAATATGACGTAATTTAACAGAAACCGCATGGATTTCAATTCAATACTTCTATCGGGTTCTACTCCATAAGAATGTAAACACTTAGCGCGTGTTGTAAAATCGCATAATAATATTTTATATTCATAGAACGAACACAAAATATTACGAGGGGTGATCCAAAAGTAATGATAATCGGTTACTTCAGGTCCGCATAAAAATCCAAAAAAAATATTTTTGCTTGCTTATACACTTACTACGTCAGCCTAAAAAAATCATATAAATAGATCACGATTTCCGGGAGATACATTCATTTGAATACGAACTGTCAAAGAGATAACATCAACATGGAGAAAAACGAAATTAGAGCTGTCATCAAGTACCTCTGTTTGAAAAAAATGTCTTCAAAAGACATACACAGTGACTTAGTGGAAACATTGGGAGACTCTGCTCCTCCATATTCTACAGTTGCACGCTGGGCCAAGGAGTTTAAACTGGGCAGAACATCCACTGAAGATGAACATCGCGAAGGACGTTCATCCACGTCCCTCACTGAAGACAACGTGAAAAAAGTCGAAGATGTTGTGTTGGCAAATCGAAGAGTGAACATCAGGCATGTAGCTGAGGTCACAGGGATCTCATAGGGCAGCGTTCAAAGAATCCTTGCGAACGAGTTGCATATGAAAAAGGTCTCGGCGCGTTGGGTACCCAGAATGTAACGACGAGCAAAAGAAAAATCGAGTTGACATTTCGAGGGTCAATCTCGAAAAGTTCCAAGCAGATCAAGAAAATTTTTTGTTCCGTTTTGTGACTATGGACGAGACCTGGATCCACCATTTTGATCCTGAAACGAAACAACAATCGATGACTTGGAAGCGAGCCTCCTCACCGACGCCAAAGAAATTCAAAGTTTCAAGTTCGGCGGGAAAGGTTATGGCATCTGTTTTTTGGGACGCTCATGGCATAATTATGGTGTAATATTTGGAAAAGGGAGCCACTATTACGGGCTCTTACAACGCAGACCAAATAAGAAGATTACGGGAGGCCATTAAGGAAAAAAGACGCGGCAAACTGCGAGCTGGAGTGCTGTTTCACCAAGACAACGCACCGGCTCACAAAGCCGCAGTTGCGATGGCTGCCATTCAAGAAACGGGATTCGAACTGCTCGAACACCGTCCCTATTCGCCAGATCTAGCTCCTAGTGACTTCTACCTCTTTCCTCGGCTCAAGGAACGCCTCCGAGGCAAGAAATTCGAAGACGATAGCGAAGTAATGGCCGCTGTTGAAGCGTTTTGGGAGGGTCAAGACAAAGAATTTTTTTCAAAGGGAATCCTGGGTTTAGAAAAAAGATGGACTAAATGTATTGATTTGTTAGGAGACTATGTAGAAAAATAAATTATTATTTTAAATTTAATTACCGTGTTTTATTTTCATTATCATTACTTTTGGATCACCCCTCGTAGATGGTGGCATTTTTCTACCTAAAATTTGCTATCCCTGACAAATTCGAAAATTTGTACAGAAAAATCATTTGTCATTAAATTAAAAATCAAATCATTCATTTCAAAATAACTGGAGGAAAATAGCTTTAAAAAGGGAGAAAACAAAAAAAATTAAACCGATGAAGGAACCGGACTGAGAAAAAAAATAAAATAAACATTTTTAGTTTTGACAATTACTCTCCTAAACTAACGTTACCAATTTCGCGTGGCTGATTTTATTACATTGCCAATAAGGCGACATCTTGTAGGCATCTGGTGGCAACAGTTTTATTTGATGAGATAGATACATAGGAGTCGTCTTTTTATGTATTTATTCAAAAGATCAGGCATACTCAACTCGATATAAGCGATAACATTGTAGATGATTAAATGTTATCTCCCGCACTAGGCAAACTGAACACGCAGATATCGCAAAATCCGTCATTTGAAGTTTAAAATTGCTAGATTTTAATGATATACGGTTTAATAAGATCTGTAAATACGTGTGTGGAAATTATTAAGACTGTTGGAACTGTTACGGAAAACGTTTAACTAAAACGGTATTTGAATGATAAATTGCCACCACAAATCTCTCACGCAATGCGTAAACAGGAAATAGTTGCCTACTTAATATAGTCGTTACTTCTATTTGCATCTTTTAAGCCTAGGATTTAACATTACGTACCACCAAGCTTATGATAAATTAAATCTAATGCAGGCAGATTTATGTCGCCAATGCAATGTTCATTATTAACGTAACGACAGTTTTGCATAGCATTCGTGTAGTAAGTCACAAGAATCGCACATCGTTGTTCTGTTGTGAAATAAAAGTGTGAAATAAAATCACAGGAAAAAATGATTATTATATTATTAGAAATACACTAAAATACAATTGGTCTAGATCGGATTCTTGTGGGTGTTGGTGGTGGGGTCGCTGGTGTCGCTGGCAATAAGACGCCCGCATCCATGGCAACGGGCGGGCAAAAGCCGCCCCGACCCGGCCTTGTTCACGCCGCCCCTGGCCGCCAGATTGCGCGCGGCAGACGAAAAGCAAAATGGAGTTCAGGTAAGGCAAAAATCGATTATTGTGATTTCGAATGCTATTTTCATTTTAAACGTTAATTCAAATGTCTGTCATCATTGTATTTTTCTCTATTAATTCAATTTACATAGTTTTCACATCGTTTTATTATTAACAATAATGTGGAAGTTTCATGGATAATGTTTTAAACTTTATGGTATGTTTTTTTAATTTTGCTTAATTTTTCACATTGGTCATCATTATCAATTCACGATGTCACATTTAAATGATATAAATTGTCTAATATTCTTAATTTTCTTCCTTCTCATATTATTATTATTTGTCTTCATTATCTTTAGTATTTATTTTCATTGTTTCAAAAATTAATCAATTATTTAGTACCTTATTAATTCTAAAGTACCGTGTTCCAAATAATTGATTTTAATTTATTACAATTTTAAGCGTTTTATATTTTATCATTTAAATTATAATTTTTTTTTGCCTGCTGATGATTCTTATCATTGTATTTAGCATCGATAACCAAAATGGTAACCTTAGAAAGGTGACGTTAGACATATCAAAATTATACATACATCAATTTTGATATTTCTAACGTTCAAACTGTCTGAAGAAACTCAGTTATAATCTATTATTAATATGGCCAAGGTGTTTACATTTAAAATAAACGCACTTTTTGTATATTTATGATGCAGATTGTTTGATTAGTAAGGATATAATATTAACTATAAACGATGAATCTTGAACAATTATCGACAAATGAATTACTTCGTAATATTATGTAACTTACATTTATGATACATCGCAATTATAAATACACCGAGATTACAAATTACAATAATCACTTTAAATCTGATAATAATTAGCAAATGATTCTATTAATTTAACACAATTAAATAGCTATTCAGGTTAAATTAAATTTGTGCAATAACTAAACGCCATCATATACATTTCGTCACTGTTTAATGTACCGTCAGACTATTCGAGATTTAGCGCTATTCATAGACAATAAATTTACCTTTACCCATCACATTAATGTTATTACTAGAAAGTCTCTAAAGAGACTTTTTAGTAATTTAGTAATATATTTAGTAATTTCCGTATATACTTATAGTAATTTCCGTAATAGGGATAGCATTATGCAACCCATACGAATAAGATTGAGAAAATCCAAAAGCGATTCGTCATATTCAAAAATTGTAATACTTTACCACACCTACCTCATATGCGGCGGATTGTAAAACCTGTGGTATGTGGTACCCTTTACAGAAGGATAATCCTTTTAGACATTGTGTTCCTCTCTTGACTTTCTCAGCTCTGAAATAGATTGTTTTGAGCTAATTAATGGTCTGCGTTTTCGTGCTTGCTTCCACACGACGTACAGGTCTCGAACCTATTACATTATTACATACTTCCTTGTATTTATTGGACAGAACTGTTTATGGTCGCAGCGAGACCATTACCCGATTTTCTAAAGTTCACTCCCACTTCAGTTAGTTTGGCCCGTTCAGCTGTAAAAAGTATGTTTAAGAAAAACGTAAAACTATTAAAAGTTATTAGTTCCTTGTCCTCCTCTCCAACGGTTTGACTAAAATGTTGTTAAAATATGAAAATTTAAAATATGTTAATTTTTCTTTTAATTTTAAACGTAAACATAGCCCGCATGCATGCCTCGCTTTGACCATTTAGTAGTTTAGTTCACTAGTTAGTTTTTTTTCTAGATGGACACAAAAATTGTTTTCTGAGAGTGCTCTACACGCTTCTTGCATATGGATGTAAATTGCTTGCCAAGGGTTGATATCAGGTTGGTAAAACGGACTTTCTTTCTTTAGATTTATTTCAATATTCTAACCGCTGGTTTCAATATTCAATCTACAGATAGATTTGGTTACTAGCGACATATATTTGATACTAGCTGACCCGACAGACGTTGTCCTGTCTTAACGATGATTTAATTTCTATTTAATTCGATCTATTTAAATCTATTTAATTCGAATTGGTATAATTAATAAAAAAAGTGTGTTTATTATTCTAATGCTTTATGATATACAATATTCTTAGTTTTTTTTTCTTGCGCGTATATAAATAGTTTTGTTGGTATTACGGCACGGTAACAGGCGACATATAACTGGCCATGTGAAAAACATTATTTATCAAAACATATTTTCAAGATTGATGCCACAAACACTTAGCGCGACGACAGTATTAGTATTCTTAAATTTTCAAATTTTCCGCGCAATTTATTATTTTTTTTTCTTTCATAAGAACCTTCTAATAATAACAAACACAACAATAAAAGTGAAATCGGTCCAGCCGTTCACGCGTGATGGCGTGACCAAGGGAAATAGGGATTAATTTTTATACATATATAGGGTGGCTTTTCTAAGTGTATCCATTTTTTTTATTAAATTCGAGACATAATGTTAGATAAAAAATGATAAATATTTAAAATCACTAGTAAGTAATTGATTACATTAATTTGAACTTATCTCAAAAAGTGTATGATTTATACGCAACTCATTTATTTTACGCGCGATCATTCATAACTTACACGTTCGTGCACAGTAAAATTTAGGTATTTATGAATGACTACCGCATTGTCAACACGTTCTGTTTTTTAGGGAATAGAAATGCATTTTTTGAAAAAAAAAGAAACCTTTGTTTTTTATTTCAATGAACTATTATACTGCCGAGTCTGAACCTCCTGTGTAAATTTGGGCACTTCTCAAAAAATCTTCCTGTATATAGATTAGCTCTATAATACTTACGTCAAAATTCTATCTGCAGAAATCAAATCTATCTCTAGGTAGAATATTGAAAACGACCGTGAAAGTTAACTTTCTCATATTATGTTGTCATAGTTAAAGTACAGCGCAATCTGCGTTTCTTTTATTAAATAATAACATGAAATAATAATTCAACTTGTTGATTATTTGTCATTTCTGTGAATCCACGCAGCATGTTCTGCTGTTGCAGGAATGGGCAGTCTCGTCCGGGAAATGCCACGGTCTCACAGAAGACCTGCAAGTGAAGTGCAATTATTACAATTTTGCGTTTCGTCTGGTTAGCGAGGTAGCCGGGGCCCACTTTTTTAGTGTTGGCAACGTATCTGCAACCCGAAAGGTGTTGTACATGTCGATGGGTGGCGTTATTCATTTAACATCAGGTGAACCGCCTGCCCGCTTGCCAAATTTTGACACATAAAAATAATGATAAAACTGGTGAATAAAAATTAACAGATTTTTATATTACTATAATAATCACACTTACTATCTGATGTGGCCGCTCTTTTCAAAATATGGCACCTACTGACCTCGAAGTTAGTTTGTATGACAAAATTATATTTTGTTATTTTTCTTTAATTTATTAAATTTCTGTTGGCCTCAATCGCTCTTAAGATTGAGCAAATTTCAACTTATCGTATTCGATAGATGGATTTTATTTTGTATTCTGCATGTTTACAGTGTGACCTGCTGAAACAGACGGAGCTTCAAGATTGACCTCAATAGTTCCTAGAACGAATAAAAACTTATTTTTAGTACTTAAAACTCGAATAGTACTGTAACTTTTTAGTTTAGGTTAGCAATTTAACATTCCTGGAATGTTCCAAGTTATAAACGAAGGTTTTATTGAATTTTATAATTATTATTTGATATTATGGGTGAATGTTATTTTTTTAATAATATTATTGTAATTTTTATAGTTTTTACATAAATACATGTTTTATTTCATATAGGAATAAAATTTGTAAGCTGTCAGTATTGTCCAGTGGTTGTTATTTAATATGAACATTTATGGGGATTGGATTACAATATCCATGTGCTTTAGATCAAATGCATTAGTTAAATGGCCTACTAGCCATATACAAAGGTTGTTTAGAAATGATTATACACTACCTATGGGTAACATATACAATGTCAAGTTGTTGTATATATAAGTATTTTGTAATCGTAGACTGTGATACGATGTTTCGAATGTGGCCTAGCAGAGTTTTTCGTCAATATACACCAAAATAATCTAAAAACTGAATGAATATGTATAACATATCTACATACGTATGTAAAAATAGACTTAATTTTTATATACATAGCTATAAATGTCAAGGAATATTACATCTGTGGAATTATTATATTGTTTAATTTTTCATTTCAATAAGGTTTGCACTATTATTAAACGGTTTTATTTAGCTCGACTCGTACGGAATTTGTTTGTTTATTTATTTGGGTCAAAATTAGAAATTGAAATTTAAGCACCTTGCCGTTGTCAGATTGATCTGAAATTTGGTACACACATTTAATTTAGATGACAATACAATATTGTAGTTTTCAGTGCACATAAAATAAAACCGTTTAACTTTAAAGTTTTTAAACGGATTTATTTAGAGGGTAAAAGAATGAAGTTTGCTTCATAAAATCGAATAACATAACATCCCCCTTCTACTCCTATATTTGAATTTGAATAGTTAACATTCGGACGTGTAGTGAGGAATAATGAATATAATTAAATTATTTCCCAGTAAACTGACCCATCCTTGTGTAGTCTTTGTTGTAGGTAAAAATAAATTATTAACGAAAAACAAAACCGACTGCAAATATCTCGCTCTGTATTTATTTTATAATTGATTTTCTGGAGTTCCCTAAGTGTCTCCGGAGGCCAAGATCCAATACCAATGAAATTAACATGGGAAGCAACGGCTTTCAATTAAAAAAATAATCATCAAAATCGGCTCACTCAATCGAAAGATCCGAGGTAAAAAACATTAAGGCGCTGTATGCAGTAAAAATAGGTTTTTCAAAAGATTTTTTAGCAAAATCTACACATTTTATAGCAGCAAAAAAAATATATGTTAATCTTGATCGTACATTCTAAGGGAACATTGTTTCCAAAACATATTCTCGATATATTTTCTCGATAGAAAAAAAAATCATGAAACTACCTCTAAAAGAGAAATTCAAAACCAAAAATTAACGTAATACATGAACAAATCTTAATGAAATTAATATCAGTGGTGTATATATTAATAAAAAGGATTGTTGTTTTAATTTTTTGATTGATGTAAGATATTTCTAAATATTAATTTAATTCATTAAAATTAATTCGAACGCGACGGCCAAAACACCGCGGCACCGCGGCGTTGTTTCGGCTCTCTTCCAACTCCACACGTTGAACTAGAGATGGGTCGTATCGCTTTTTCTGAGTACCGTATCTTATCAGATTTCGATTTCAAATATCAGATTTCGAAACTATGTATTTTAATATCTAGATATAAAGTAATATATTTAATATCTAGATGTAAAGTAGCACAGCACTATTAAATTATATTTTTCTTTTTATGTACTTTTATTTTTTTCCAAAAATATGAATAAAATTTAACTAATTAAAATATTCACAAAAAATTTATCTCCTAAAAAATTTCCCTTGTATATTTTTCATCCCTTACTATTACGTGCTAGGTACCAATGCAATCCAACTCAAGGCTAAACAAAATTTAAAGACATAGTTAATACCGTAATTCGTATTTAAATGCAACAGAGTTTTTTTCCATGCCGTTATGATTCAAAATTACTTAACTGCGCGCTTTGTCGCCCGTTACGGCTCAAGGCTAAACAAAAGAATAAAAATATAATAATATCGTTGTAGTACTCGTTGATACCATGATCAGTATTTAAATAAAACTGATCTTATTTAGATGGTTTTAAGATTCAAAATTACTTAACTTATTCATAATATCTGTTTAAAAATCTGATATCGTGCATTGCTTGCCGTCCCGCTCTAACTAGTGAGTATTTATATCTCATGCGCTTTGTCGCTCGATATCTGTTTAAAAATCTGATATCGTGCATTGCTTGCCGTCCCGCTCTAACTAGTGAGTATTTGTATCTCACGCGCTTTGTCTCTCGAAATCTGTTTAAAAATCAGATATTGTGGCAAACGCGTATGATATCGCGATTCGTGTCGGTATAGCGAGCGAGCACGGTACATCAGATTTCGGAAATATCAGATATTGTAAAATACATAGATATTGAACGAGCCAGTTTTCATATCTGATACGATTTGTATCGCCCACTTCTACGTTGAACAGAGAGCGCTGAGACGCCTTGATAAATGGACCTATGTCGCTTGTCTTCCGCTCACCGTTACGAAATATGTTCCATATTTATTTATTAATGAGGGTTATAATTTTATTAGATCATTCGAAAACACGAAACTAAAAAATATATATTCACATATTTCGTATTTGTAATTATTTGTATGAATTAACAACTAAAGCGTAATTTCAATATCTTATCTTGTCATTGATAAGTTTACCAGTCCTATACAAACAGTGTAAAGGGATGCCAACTTAGGAATTTTCTTCCGAAATTTAGGAATAAAAAATGTGGAATGGAAGTTTATTGGGAGGTAAATTTTTATGGGTAAATTTTTTTAGGAGTTAAATTTTATTCACATTTTCGAAAAAATCTACAAAACAACTTATTTAAAAAAAAAAATCAGTGCCGTGCTGCTTTGGATGACGTCAGGCCAAGGCCTATGTGTCTGGTATGAATATTTTATGTATTCAAATAATTTTTTTAATATTGTTTTGATTTTATTCTTAACATATTCATTTCAAATGAATTATGTTATATTTGATGTTCTTGACCATGGTTTATTTTATCAGATAATTATTTTTCCTTTTCCTATAATATAAAAAAAATCCTGATTTTAAATTTAGAAATTTTTGTTTGAATTTAATAAATTTTTGTCGGTTTTCGAATTGTTTTAGGAGTATTATTTTTGAACAGTTGGTAACACTGTGTAAAGGACCATCATTCTATAGGGATTGGGTTCAAATCCCTACATTTTTCTTTGTTATATTTTTTGGTGATTTTCTTTTTGTGGGTATTTTTTTTTAATTTACCTTTTAATTTTTGTTGATTTTTTATTTTTATAAATAATTACAACGAAATATTATTGTATTTGTTGAACGTAGAACGCAACAGTTGGAGAACAATCTATCAGATAATAAACCAAGTTTTCATTATTTAAAATTTCTGACATTGTATATTGTTTTTAATTTGTTTATTAAAATATTTAATTTTTCACTCTAAAACGAAAACTATTCTTTTACGAACACGAAAAATAATTGTTTTATAATTTTTGTATTTTCCACATTTTATCAAATAACAACAAAATAATACATTGATTAACAAATTAAAATTGGAAAAACATGTATCAACCATGACGTTCGACACCAATAGGCTACACGATTTTTTTTTTTTGGCTGGATGAGCCACTGTTGGCCTTAGGGGCCTTTACAGATCCGACGGACTTGAGGTGGCCTGGCGCACGAGGCGCCTAGCCTGAACCTCGGCGTACTATTATTACGCGTTATGGTGACTAAGCTCGAGGGCTCCCGAAGGAACCTCGGCTCGGGCCGTCACGCTATTATTATTACCGGTTTGGGAGGCCGCCAAGCTCTTAGGGCGCTTTGGCGGGCGCTCCATGGAGTGATCAGGCTCAAGGGTCCCCGAGAGGGGACCTCGGCTTGGGCTGTCACTCAGCACGCGTTTAGCATTCCGATTCGAGGGTGCCCGAGAGGGCCGGACCTCGACTCGATCGGTAGCTATTATCTGACTGGGGGCTACACGATGTCTGCGGAAGGGAACAATATTTCGATTCTAGTTATAATTGTTGTCGTTTATCGATGTAAGGAATTTTATCGATAATTTTTTTAATTTAATTTCATTGATGAATTAATATAACGTAGTAAGTCTTTCACATTTAAAGGATAAATTAAAGATATAAAGTTTAAGAAAATATGTAATTAAAAAGTCGTATTCGTACTTTCTGTCGTGGAGACTATGAAATTGCGTAATTAAACTTAAATGAAAATAAAAAATTATTCGTTTATTTATTGTTTTGTTGTAAGAAATTAATAAAGGCAAATCCTTTATTAATTTATTTGACCTTAAGATGTATTTTTAATCAATTCTAATCCGTTTCCTGATAATTTAAAATAATTAATAGGAAGTTTTTCTGAAATTGTTGATTGCTTTCTCATACTTCATATTTGTTTGTTTATTATGATTCCTATAATAATATAAAAGTAAAGTAAAATCATGGTCTATAAAAGATATTATCATTCTGTGTACATTTTCGAAAGCCTTCCATGATACTATCGATAGTGTCCTACGGCCCATCACTACACACTAGGTAATGAATGGTCTAGCGGCGCGTCGACGAAACTCGCGCGCTGCGCGTGCCAAGCGGCGGCCCCTCCTCCGCTTCCTCATACTTCACCACCCAAATAGTTAAAAATTCACTGCATACAGCGCCTTAAAAAAAACATTCGAATTGAGAACCTCCCCCGTTTTTGAAGTCGGTTGATAAAAAAACTAAGGTCGAATATTCTATGCAACCTTTTTAAAAGCTATCGTTTCATTAGTCTCCTGTACTGCTGCTGAGGAAAGGGGGAAAAGATTGAATGTTGATATGGAAGGATGTCCCGGGAAGT